AAAAATGATCGCAAATAATTTCTTTAGCAAATATATAACCAGCCAGTGTTCAAAACTTTCTGCTGCCTTAGCTTGATTACAAATTGTAAGCTTGTAATAATGTTTTTAATCCCAGTGGTACTGGTGGATTTCCGCAGGAGATTCGAGCATGTGTTTGTGTCATTACGTCACATCTGTACTCGTATAGTAGGCTAGGATGTTGGAGGTGGACATTTATAGCCTTTTCTCACAGCACTGGATAGAATTATGCACCAATTTGATGGCGAATCCAGAAAGATTCAAACGACAGACACCAGTGACACCTGAGAGTCACCCGCTGTAAAACGCAGAAGAATTAAAAAAAAAGAGACTGCAACCGGCCCATGCGAAAACAAGCATAAATATCGGAAGGGCTTTAAATGTAGTCACACAATGCTGATGTTGAACATTAACAATTTGTGTACAAAGGGTAATTTGCACGATTTTAGGTGATATCATAAGCAACTGTTTGATTTAATTTGCGCGATTTACTGCAATGATTTTTTCCCCTTAGTTGGTCAGAACCAGAACAAAAGTGGATGTTTCCTACTAGTTCAGATGACATTTTCCCGTGAAAATGATTATGTTGTCATACTTCCAAAAAGAATAATCTGTGATTCTGAATGCAGTATTCACACCGGCGCGGCGACTGACATCTGCACACTCTCCTCAAATGATGGATTAATCCGCGTTGTGCCGTGTCGATGCACAACTCGCATAAAGTTGAAAATTCCGCGAATAACTGCAATTGCAGCTTTCGAACAGAGATGGCGACAAAGAGGGAAATAAACTAAGGAATGCAGCTTTAAGATATTTACATATTTTACTCTCGCATGTTTTAACTTGACACTCATGATGAAAAAAATTCAGCAAAATATAATTGGCCACATATAGTCATCTGTCCTTGTGAAAAGACATCTGACCACAGTCTTTGATCACAATGTAATGATGGTGACCAAGGTATGAAATTTTAACCACAGATAACTTATATGTATATTTTAGTTACTATGTTCGGGTTGGGGAGTAACGGAATACATGTAACGGCGTTATGTATTCAGGATACAAAAATCCAGTAACAGTAATTTGTTACAGTTACATCAAAAAACGTAGTAATCAGATTATAGATACTTTTTTGAAAAAGGGGGGATACTTTCACGATTACGATGGTTTCATTTAAAACTAAGTAAATCTGTATTTTGGCATAATAACACTCTATTAATGACTCTCGACACGAGTCACGTGTGCCACCCGCTGGTGACTGCGTAAAATAACAGCTCTCGACAACAATCTCCTCAGACACGGACTGAATCACTGCTGCTAGAAACGATGCTGCTCACTGGTAAAACTGCTTTCATTTCTTGGAAATTCCGCTGCTATTTTGTTTTTAAAGATGAAAGTTTCAACAACATGGTTCTACAGTGCAAACTGTGCCTTGTTGTTAGCTTATGTAGCGTTTATTACTGCTTTAAAATTCAGTGGTTTGTATGATCGAAGTTTTCTAGTGATGCTGGAATCTGTAGACATTAAGATAGTAGTTTTTTTTAGTACCTAAAATGTCCTTTCATAATCTCTTCGTTCTCAGTCTCACTGAAGGAGATGTTCACTGCTACGGTAGGGGAACTCTTACTGCCAACGGCCCAAGTTCAGACAGGCAAATTAAGAAAGATCACGGCATTAGTCAACAGATTATTTCCTATTTTAAAATAAACTAATATGTGGATTGTGTAGTATTTTTAAATGTTGTGTTTTTATTATTTTCTTGTAGCCTACATAATACATGATAATCTGTAAAACCATACAGTAGCCACTAGATGTCTCTATAGCCCTTTAAATAAATATATTTCGGGTATGTGAAATTCTTAATAAGTAAAAGTTTTAATAATATCTGTCCTTGAAGTAATCCAAAAGTAATCAGTTACATTACTTTCATATTCTGATACTTGGATTACGTTACTGAATACTTTTTTTGTGAAGTAGAGTAGCCTACATTTTTAAAGTAACCCTCCCCAGCCTGGGTGTAAGACAGGAATAACTTCAAATTGTATTATTTTCCCTGATAAACTCTAAAAACCACTACATACATGTGTGAAATGTGAAATCAGTTAGTGAGATCAGTGAGATCAGTTTTGTATTGTTATATAAGATTCAATCACATGAGCCCAAACATTAAATAATAAAGAAACTTTGCACACAAAAGGTAACACAACAACATCTGTTATTTCAAAGTAAGTGTCACAACCACAGTTTTTATTGACTGAAGCGGAAATCGCTCGTGGCGCGAGCACGCCCGGTTACGCAATGCTCGTTCCCTCATCTAGAGAACCGAGGTTACGTACAGTGGGCAACCGATTCGTTTTCTGTTTCCCTGTTGGCGCCCGGGTCGTTGTCCCTGATTATACTGGGATTTGGTTAGAGATTATGGTTTTCCATCCCTCCAAAAGTAAACCTTGTTCTGCTTGTAATCCTCAGCATTCTTAGCCTTCTTGACACTCAGCTGAGTAGTGATTTCACTTATACCGAAGGCCATCAGGTCAAAGGAGCATTTGTTTAATATTTCGCACCAGAGTGCAGTAGCACCTCAATGCAGAACATGAGATCCACGGGGAGGAGTCGGATCACGATCCAAGGGGTGGAGATGGGTAGGATTAGGGTTGGGTTTAGAGATCAGGGGGCGGAGTTGGTTAGGTATAGGTGTATGTAAGGTGGGAGGAGTTGGATCTGGATCCGACTCCTCCCCATGGATTTCATGTTCCGCAGTGAGGACCATCTCCCAGAGTGTGCAAAAAAATCGGACAGTCCCGGCCTAAAGCAGGTGCCCTCTGTAGACCTCAGGGGTTGGCCATTTTTTCTTAGATAGTCAGTGAATGTTACAGCGTGCAGATGCTGTCTGATCTCTCGTTCTTCTTGTCCTGGACCTGCCAGAAGGTGGGATGTGCACACAATTACTCTTTTCATCTAATTAGGGGATCGGGCTGCGTTCAAAACCACATACTTCCCTACTATATAGTAAGGATAAAAGAGTACAGTAGGTGAGTGAAAAGTATGTACTGATCATAAAAGAATAGTCAGTAATTAATACAATTTCTCGCGAGATTCAGACGTAGGCTACGTATATAATAGTGTGTTTTATTATGCTTACTTTCCTATTTGGTAGGAGAAAATCATGGTTGTCATCCTCATCGAATGATTCAAGCTCGGATGTGAGTGTCCAATCGGAGTGTGGATGGCTTTTTTAGGATGCGCCCAGAGAAGACCTCTAAATCCACATCGCTGCTGGACAGCAGGCCTGTTTCCAAGCAAAAACGTTGTCGAAGAAGTCCGCGAAAAAGGACGCTGGCAGCCCCGTATCCACAGCAGGACGAGAGCATGGTAATCAACTTTTCTGACAAAATTTTATCTGAGACCTGTATATCAGCCTTAAGTAAAGGACTAAGTTTTGTTCCAACTAATCACACTAATGACTTTGAGACTATTATTGATTTCCAAAAGTTTTTTCGTGATCTAAAACTGAGGGAGTTTTTCCATTCTGATATGAAAGACAGTCCAAATAGGAATATGTCATTGATCTCATTGGATCAAATCCACTTGCCTGTCAGCTCTGTACGTGACTCGGCCCATTGTCAATTTAAGAAAACGTCTACATTTATAGCTCCCAAGCACCGTAACGCCGCCTCCCTTGACACGTGCTGGCTTTTGGTTGAGAATGATAAAAAAAAGAATATAAAGAGTCTAATAATCTGTCAAAAGAGGAAAGAGGAGCTGTAATGGATTAGAGTAAGAATAATAGGATTGTGGTACAGCCTGCTGATAATGGAGGAGCGGTTGTTTTGTAAAATGAGAATTAAGTGATGTGATTTTCTATGAGAAACTGCCCTCTGAGTCTATAGAAGGTTCAGTAAACATCGAAGCACTATTAGAACAGGTGATGAACACAGTCCAGGCAGATATATCGGGCTGGAGAGGCTCAAAAACACGTCTAGAGGAGGTGATTATGACAAAAAACTTCTCCAACGGGAAACTTTTTGGATTTACTATTTAAATACAATGTCTCCGTATGGTCTTAATGAAGAGTTTGATATTAAACTATTCTTATAAAAATATTTTTAAATATATATATATATATTTTTTTTTTAAACATTTTTGTAATATAGCATTTTGCACTTCTCTGTGCATGCTATTTAACGTGGTGACCATAGACCTGCATTATATGACTGACAGACAAGAACGGTTTGACGTAAAAATATCAAAATTGAAAATACTGCTGAAACAAAGACATCTACATCTTGGATGCCCTTGAGGTAAGCTAAAACGTACCAAAAATGTATTTCACATTAAAGAATTTCTATAATTCAATGTTAGGCTGCATAGATTTGGTCAACCAGAACCAGGAACACTTCCCATAAATCCTGATGTACTTGTTACATCATAAGAACGATGGCGTCTACGCTAAAATTAGTCTCTCGATTTATCTCAAGGTTTACCGCAGTCCGCCGGATCCAGGCCGTATATGAAGGACCTGCGCCTGGACACGACCACAGCTCAGTCCTCAAGTGTCTAGTCCCCCGTACAGATAAAACGTTGTCAGGATAATTACGGTTCATGTGGCTACACGGAAGCGATAAAAAAAAATTCAGTATTATACATATATATCAAGGCTTGTACCTTGGGAACCTATTTCATGGTTTGCATTCTCCAGCCATCAGGCACTGTTTAGTGCGAATGAGCGGCCGGATCGTATTAATCGCAGCCCAGTTAATAACTAATGATCGTTGCGACAAAAGTGAATCAATCAAAACTATCTTTAGCTGGACAATAACTTTATTTTAAAGCCAAAACAATCTCTGTTTCTTTAATTTCCTATTATCACTGGAAAGCTGCTTTAAAACAATCTGTGTCGTTAAAAGCACTATATAAATGAAGATGATTTGACTTGAGAAATAAAATGATTAATTGGCGCACAAATAACTAGGGGGAGAAAGAGATCAGAATTTATCTGTTTATTTTCTTAATATATATATATATATATGTGTATTTAATTATATATCTATATATATCTATATAGCTTACATTGCTTTCAAAAAGGAAAACAGACAGACTGGATTATGGCAACACAATGCCGACATTGAACAATGAGATGGAACACCAACACCAACACCAAACATAACCGAAGATACTTCTTTAATCAACTACTCATCTACAGCAGCTTTGATTTCAGATCCGACCCGAGAAGAGCTGACAGGGTTGCAGGTGTTCCTCAGTGAAGTTTTGAGCCGTTTCCTTTCCATGTTTCCTGGTGTAACGGTGCTCGAGTATGTGCTTAACATTATGCTGAGGATCTGCTTGCTGCAGCTGATCACACAGACACAATAACTCTACAAGAACATTCACTGAAAAGACTTGCCCAAAAGAAGAAAAATAAACATTCATAAAAGAGAACTGAACAGAATTACAAGTATATGAAGTGGAACGTTTCCTCTCAAATCGTCATTCATCATAAACATTCGGCCTCAGCTACAACCAGACATCGTGACATCATCACTGTGGATGGATCAGTACCGAGAGGAGCATGCATTCATATAGTGATGATACGCATATGTTCTACTCCTTTTGTCATTCAGCATCATTAAACATTGTGTCATTACTAAATGCCCTACGAATCAAAACATTTTCACATTATACAGATCTAAAATCAGAAACATACTTTATGCAAGAATGCAAATGGTTGGCCAAGCCTGCGGCCTGGAGATAACACAAGCAATCACCTTCAGATGTCCGTGTCATTATTCAGGTAGCTATCTATAAACTTGTCAACAGTTGAACTAACTAACCCTGCTCAGCAAGACTCTCTCCAAACTGTTGCTGACCTGAAAGCGATAACTGACTGTCAAAGATTGTCCGCTACAGTGTTGGAACTTGCGGTCTTTTGCCATCCATAAACTTGAGCTTGCATAGCAAGAAGCGTTTGCTTTCACATTCAGGCTAGTGATGGAGTGGCTTGCTTTGCACTTAACGACACTTATAAGATCTATCCATTAAACATTCTTGCGTCGTCTTTCTAGCAGAAAGCTCTTATTAGCATCTTGTTCCACATTCTTCCATTTCATAGTTGTCTTTTCTTGACTTCAGATTATTGAAAGGGTATCAAACTGTACTGTGTACCAGATTTGTTTTAAATGTACGTGTTAACATTAACACACAGCTTTCATATGGCCACAAGATACCTTGCTTCCTCTTTTATGAAAGTATTAATAGACCAGCAAGGAACAATCCAAAAACAGTGAACGTGTCACTTATTGCACAGGCAGTGTAAATCTAAAAACAAATTCAAGGTGCCTCTGCGTACACACACAAACCCCGTAATCATACAAACTCTCGTAAGCATCTACAACGAAACCCATCCGGTTTGTGTCTGTGGGTCGTGTGCATTAGCACAAATGGAGGCGTTTTACAGTATCAAGAATTCTTAAGTGTCTGCTACCAACTCTCCCTCCTTGTTTAACCGGCAGTCCCACTGGGAAGAGATGTCAGCGAAGTGGCTTTGAGTGAGAACAGGCTCAGTGGGCCCCAGAAAGGAGCCTGGAGTCTCGAAAAGTGGATGGGAGGGGGTGCGTGGTCCTCAGTTCTGGGGATCGGCGGGTGGTCAGGGCTGGACCTTGAAGGCCAGGAGCTGTTCGGAGTGCATGTTGTTGAGCGAGCGCAGATCGGGAAGTTTGAGAAGCAGTTTAGTGAAGATGGCAATCTCGTTGGGGTGGTTCTTGGTGATCAAGCTGCGCAGAGCTCGAATCAGAGTTTCCTGAAGTGCCTCGACGGAGTTGACGTTCTCCAGGCCAGAGCGATCTATGGGGAACACACACAGCAGGGGGATTTATTTATAGACGGGATAATCACCATGACCTTCCTGACGTCAGTAAGTGGTCTAAGGTTTGAGTTTCTTAATTTGTGTGGTCTAATCATAACTGCATCTTAAAATCGTGATCCTAAATTGCAAATATGTAATCCTTAAACTTTCATTTCAACATCTCAGATTAGGGGTGTGCGATATGACGATTTTTAATCGTGGACGATTAAAATGTCTCCACGATCTGCTTTTGAAGAAATATCGTAGTATCGTGTTACAGTGCATTCTATCAGTTCAGTTCTGGCGCCTCCGTCTCTCAACTGTACAACGCAACGTAGCCTACACATGATCACACGTACGGGACACTGCAATTCACAAAAGTTCATTATTTGCATAAGCCTTGCCGGTTAAACATTTAATCCACGCGCTGATGCGCTGTTCTAACGTGCGCTTTCCTGACCGCATAACCCCCGACGCTCACAGGCACTAGAAGCCTGTCAAACAGCGCCTGAATACTGGACTAAGTTATCTTTCGAGTCTTATTATGCTAATACTGTTAAATACACACAATGTGTACATAAACAGGCTATGTCTAAAGTGAAAGCAAACATTTGAGAGAATATCTGGTGTAATATGCGTCTATATTAAACACGTCGCGTGCTGGTCTAAAAGTGACAGGAATAAATAGTACTGCCGCTTGTCCTTAAAGGATAGTTCACAAAAAAAAAAAAAAAAAAAAAATCCGTCATTATTTACTCACTCTAATGTTGTTCCAAACCTGTATTAATTTCTTTCTTTTGCTGAACACAAAAGACATTTTTTTTTAATGTGGGTAACCAAACAGTTGCTGGTCCCATTAACTTAGGAGAGAACCTATAAAAAAAAACTATAAGGACCAGCAACTGTTCGGTTACCCACATTATTCAAAATAACTTTTATTTTCAACAGAAGAAAGAAACTTATTCGGGTTTAAAACATCTTGAGAGAGTAAATTAAGACAATTTTCATTTTTGAGGGAACTATCCCTTTAGTGTTAAAAAAACAAAAACAAAAACACTAGGAGAAAATCACTCACTGACTGAGAACTTAAATATATCTTTAATAAGAATCGATTTATTCAGTGAAGTCTATGTAGTGTTTTAATTTCATATTTGTTCATTTAATTACTTCAATGCTACTGCTAAATGGACCTACTGCATCTGAAAAAATAAAGCACTATTTATTTAATATGAATATTAATTTCTGTAATGTTTATCTTGTCTTATTTTTTTTTTCATTACAGCCACTTGCAAAATATTAAAACCAACTTGAAAAAGAATCGTGATAAAAAATCGTGATCGTGATTTTCCTAAAAAAATCGTGATATGATATTTTTTCCATATCGCCCACCCCTATCTCAGATACAAACTCTAGTCTAGAGTGTATGAAAACGCTCTGCGGACGACAGAAAGTGATGAGCACCTGCAGACACCAGCACTACGGCCGTGAAGAGGCTGATTTCCTCCTCGCCGAGGTTCAGCGCCCGCAGCTTCTCTGTGAAGTCAAACATTGAGTTGAGGAGATCTCCGGCCCCCAAAGACCGCAGAGCATCCACGCTATACTTCCTGCCACTCAGAAACGTGACCGTCCGCTCCTTCACATCGAACAGGGATGTAAAGCGTACCACCAGCACCTACAGACCAAACAGGAAACCTCAGCTCTTTCCAAGTTCTTGTAGCAATGGTTTCTTTAAATCAGATTCAGATTGTGTTGCGTTGTGTTCATACCTCAAAGGTGCCAGCCTTGAGCAGGCTGACCTGGTCATGCTGGGATAGATCTTTGAACCCTGGGATACGCTTGGCAAATTCCACCACCTCTCTGACAGCCGGGGTGAAGCTCATGGAGAACTCCTCCCAAATACTGTGACCTGACTTCTGAGGATCCACATAGGGTGATGTATTCATGGGGCAAACCTGTGAAATAGGATTGTGAAAAATATATCATACCAGCATGAAATGAGAGTATTCACAAGTATTTCAGAAATGTTGGTATCGGTACCGTGTGACTCACCAGGTGCATCCTGTTAAGCCTCCCGAATGTTTGGAGGTTCTGAAGAGATGATCCGTCGGCTCTGACGGGACAGCCGTGATGTGGGCCGGCGTCTTCAGTCCCCTGCGCAGCACCGCTCGACTGTGGCTTCGGTTCGCTCGATGAGGATGTGTCGTTCTGCCGGTTCCAGACCTCCTGGGTCTTCTCAGTGAAATAGCTGTAGGTGCTCGGGGCTTCAGAAGGCACACTGCCCTGCTCCTGGTTGTACATGAAGGTCTCCTGCTGTGCCCTAGTAAGTGTGCCGATGGCCTCCTCCTCGCCGCTGTCGGTGGCACTGAAGGAGTCGGAGCTTTGGCTCGTATCCATGGCGATCAGCAGCTCGGGGTCAGGGCTGGTCTTGGAGGGGTTGCTCCTGGAGGAACGGCCATCGCTGTCCTCGGAAGATCCGTCGCTGGCTGAAGTCTGGTTGCTAAGAGGCAGGGGCTGGTTGCCGTGGCCGTTGCTCATCATGTTGTTCATTGCGTTCTGCATCTCGAGCAGCATGCGCTGCTTCTCTCGTTTGGGAATCCGGCCAAAGCGCACCGCTGAAGAGAAGACTGTGTCAGTGACTGACACTTATGCTTAGAGATTGACCGCTAGATTTAAACAGGCAATTGCTCAAGAGTCTATGACTGAATTATTATTGCAATGATCGTTGATGATGTTTCCAGCGTGTCATATGTTTGGCACCAGTTCTTCTGACCCCTAACAGATGGAGTGTGTAGCTTTTAATTTCATAAACAACATGCAGGAAGACATAGCATGGCCATATTCCTGGATGACAAAGCCAAGATTAACATGAAGAATCATTCTCACACATGAACTGGCACCAGACTTTAAAATCATTGAAAGTCTTTGGGGTGTGCTGGAGTAGACTACATTGGCAGAGCTTGACCAAAAATGTATCCGCCTCTTCATGGAAATAACATCACAACATTTATTTCCATCATTTTTTCGCTAAGATCTTTTATTGACATTGCAAGAGTCCAGCACATCCCAAAGACATTCAATGAATTCAAAGATCTGGACTAAGAGGGGCCAATTTTTCATGCTATTCTCAAACTATTCTTTCACAATTTGATGATTTTACAATTTGACAATTTGAATTGCACACTCCACCAGTTTGGGGTCAGAAGAACCCCTAGTTGCTAAACATATAACATGCTAGAAACATAATAATCACTGAAATAATGATCCAATCATAGACTCTTAAGCATATTTAAAATCCAAATCGGGGCATTGTATCATCTATCTCCGTGCAAATAACATTTACTTTATATATTTATTCATTTGTCCTTTACTGTACGTACACACCGCTGCTGACTTGAGCTTCCAAAGTGACCTAAAGTCATTCATTTTCAACGGGAGCTGGCTTCTCTCAGAACAGAAGAGATTATATTCTTCTCAGCTGAAAGGATCCATCGGCCGAAAGTGGATAGCTCGTCTTCTTTATGGTAATGAGCTATGACGCGGATCGGCAGCAACCGAATGGACTACAGACGTCCTTTGTGCGGCTGATTCCGGAGAAACATACGATGTAAACTTTCGTTCCTACCAAAACATTAATCCCGAGAACATTAGTCTTCTCTGCAAATACAATACAGCAGCACCCAACACAAACACTTTCACGATGATCCAGTGATGCACATTTGAGGATGAGCGCAACTACTATTGGAAACATTTTAAGCGTGAATGCAACTCATTTGCTAACGTAACTGATTAGATACAAATAATAATAATAATAATAATAGCTAATTATTATTTCCCCCCCCCCAAGTTTTCTAGTGTCAATGTATTGCTTGTTTTTTCTGTTTACATTTCATGTTGTGACGCTTCTGTCTTCTTTGGAGCTCAGGTCGGCGGTGTGTACTGTACGCACAGTTAGGGTATGAACCCTGAGGTCAGGATATGTCGGCCTGTAACAGATTTTGATGACACAACTCACCATCTCTGGACATGCCCACGAGCAAACATTTCTTAAAACGGCACTGCTGGCACCGGTTCCTGTTGATGCGCATAATGGGACAGCTTTCGTTCTTAAGGCACTTCTTATACTGAATGTTCTGCTGAATGCTCCTCCTGAAGAAACCCTGCAGGGGTCAAATGGAAGAGATAGACATGTAAGGGCCACACACAGAGAGAAACACGTGTCGGGACTCTGAGTTGGTGTGGAAAGCAGGTGTCCCTCTCCGGACTGAAGACACTGTTTAGTCACAGAGCTTTCCTCTGATAGTTCAACAGGCTGCTGAGTCGCAGGCTCTCTGGTTATAAATAAAGCAAAGTGATGTCTCCTTCAGGGAGATGCGACCCAGATCAGGCATGACGGCCATGTCACATCAACCCGAGACAAATTAACATGAAATCAAACACTATAAAACCACCTTGACTGAGAAGTATGCAAAACCGAACACACATGAGAGTGAAAAACACAGATTTTCACACCGCTTTTGACTTTAAAATACACTACACTTCAGAAATGACAAATGAAACCTCCAGTGCTTATAAGTTTACACTGAAATGTGGCTGTAGACTGACTCTAACGATTTCTCACCTTACATCCCTCACAAGCGTGAACGCCGTAGTGAAATCCTGACGCCACATCTCCACACACTTTACATAGCAGCACCAGGCCGTTAATCTCTGCAGGAGCACAGACACAGAGAGAGAGGTCAAACAGGCTCCGAGTCTCAGCTCAGTTCGGCTTTCTCCTTCAACGGCTTCCTCAAACAGCTTCATGATGAAGCTGATATAATGAATCTTGCGATGTGAAGTGACAAATATCAGATCATCACTGTCCATTATATCATGATTCTGTATTTGGATGGTCCCTTTAACACATTCTGTTGACTATAAGTAACGTTGCCCCTTCATGTCTGCTAACTCTCACTCGAGTGTTGGTAGAGGATTCGTACACTGGTAGGGTTAGGGTTAAAATAAAAGTTACTTATGGTCAGTAGAATAAAGAGTTAGCAGATATTAAGCAGTCAATCTACTGATGCTGATGAGAGTTTGTTGACATGTAGTTGTTAAGTTACTTCTAGTCAACAGAATGCGCAAAAGGGACCATCAAAATAAAGCGTTACCTTATTCTATACTAACACTTAATACTTGTTTCTTATTTTTCAATTCCATTTAGATAACAGAAACATCTCTGAGAAAGCAAAGCATGTTAATTAATAAATGAATTAATTAATTAATAGTTCCAGACTACATATGTTGGATGGGCCAATTCTCACTATTACAACAATATTGGCTGTTTATTAGTACTTATAAAGCACATATTAATGCCTTATTCTGCATTCCTTAATCCAACCCAATACCTAAAATTACTATTAATAAGCAAGTTTATTGCGGTGAAAGTCGTAGTTGATAGTGAGAATGTGACCAATCATATTTAAATTAGTTTGTAAGAACATGTGATTGCAGCATGAAAACATTTCTGGTTGTCTTTATTTAGGCTCTCACTTGTTATGCCACTTTTGGTGGTGGAGGGTGACCGTGCCTTCCCTCCGCCGTGCCTCGGTGGGCGGGACTGAGAGGCCACAGGAAGTGCCTCGCCCTGCTGACCCGGCCCTGCATGAGGCGGCGAGCAGGACTGATAGCTGCTGTTGGAGGAGTCGCTGAGGCACGAGTCCGAGCTCGAGGAGCTAATGTAAGCTATTACCCCACCTGGTGGATGACACACAGAACAACATCAGTTAGGAAAACTAGCTTCATTTAAAAAAGAAAAGAAAATGTGGATCCTAATATGCGCATGTATATTACAAAGCATACGAGTATGAGGCGCGGCCTAATGGTTGAGTCTACTTTTACATCTATCTGTTGACAACTGTGTCTAAAAATATATATACATAGAGAGAGTAGCTGAAATCCATATAATGAAGATACAACTATTTTCTTTGTCCCTGTGTTTTATTTTGAGCTGCAAGCGATCCTTTTGTCAGAAAGCGGAGCAGGCTCTGTGTGCTCTTTATTCGGTATGGGTTGGCCTGATTTCTGCTGCCCCACTCTCAATGGTTAGGTAACACCATTACATAATACCTTACTGGGTGGAGGCTTTAATAACTCAACTCAAATTAAATACTTAGAACTAAAAAATATCATCTGTTTGCAAATTCTAATATGGTAATATGTCAATACTTACATGTACTTACTAATTGCGTGCTGTTGAGTCAAATGGAGCAAACCAAAAGGTATCATTTCCGTTGTTTACGTTATGTCAATAAAACTGTCTACCTGAATTTATTTATAACTAATATATATAATAGTATATATTTATATGGAAAAATAAATAGATATGTTTTTGTATACTATATACACACACAGACACACACAGAACAAAATGAATGGACGTCATCAGTATCGCAGTCGGAGCTGGTCACATGTTCTTAGCTCCGCCCACACGTGTACTCGGGCATGTCTTGTTGGGAGTGTAAAAGCCCAAAAAGTGGGTCAGACGCGGACGCCTCACGTGTATCTGCAGCTGCAGACGCATCTATCCAGCCATGCAAATTATGCAACTCCTTACGTCATGACTTCTTTCGACCAATCAGAGCAGACACACCGGACGCGTAAACACAGATGCACATGGCTAGGCAGAGCGGTCCATGTGAGTTGGGAGACAGCAGTTCAATAGCAACCCACAATCTATGTCATAACAACACAAGCCTGGCGCGTTTAACCTACTTAGAGTTTTCATGCTGCAAATAAAGTGATAAAAGCCCAAACAGCACTTTAATGCACACTGCACATTCACAGCATCACGTGGGAATACATGCGTCGGTGACATTTATTAAAATCAATGTGCAATGAAGCAGGTATGCCGACTTATTCAAAGTAAGTCCAAGCTGATCTTACCGGCCTTCGTGGATTCCATGTCCTCCGACAGCTCGAGCCCGAGTCACCTGTGTGGCAGTGCCGTCTTTACCGGGTCACAGCAGCAACTGTCGAGTCGCTGGGAGAGACTATATAAACCGAGTTTCCCTTCAGACGTGCCCTAACCCTACAGCACACACTCCGCGAGAAACATGTCTGAATAAATGAAACAGACAATCTGGATATATCTGCTCCTCCGTGTTACTTTAGGGACGAAAAAATCATATACCTCCTAGAAAACTATAACTAAATACATACCGTTAAGTTACATCTAGTACGTTAGTTATAATAATTGATGACTCTTCTAGACCGGACAGCCAAGAGACCAAATCCACACGATTTCCGTCTAATAAAAAGAGACTCGAATAGCTGTAGTTCAGAGTTGTGAATAAATGGAGATTTAACGGAGGAAGAGAGCGCGTATGTAGCAGGATCGCCGAAGCTGAGTCTCTGTGCGGCGTCTGTGTGAGTCTCAGCGGCTGCTGTCTCCAGAACACGTGACCCTTCACCGCGGCTCCGCCCCCTGGCCTGCTGCTGCAGGAGTGTCAGTATAACCCACTGACACACTTTCACTGCTCCTGCAGGGGCCTCCTGTGAACTCTCACCCCACACCCGAAGCCCCGATGACCCCAGCAAACACAAAACATCACACTGACATTTTAACAGTCTCAGCACTCCCGAAGCTGAGATCTACGCCCCTGAAAACCTAATGAGGAAAATATGCAGGTATAGGGCATAAAGTATATATTATATACTTTATTATATTCCATATCATATTTATTATATTCTATATTCCACACACACACTTGCTTATGCACAATGAGAATAAGCCAAAGTGGCAAAAAAAACAAACTTTAACGTTATTTTTAGAAGATGTTTTTTTTTAATTTTTTGATGACAGATCTTCTCTCCAATTCTCATTACTACAAAATGTCATTTAAAGGTAGGGTAGGCAATATCGGAGAGGCAAGCAATAGCAATTCATGAAGAAAAAGAAAAGGGATGGTTTCCATCACATCAGCTTCAGTGTGTGCGGCGCCATGACTGCGTTTGTTATGCTTCCTTCCAACATCTCGCCTTCTGATTGGATATTGTTTCGTTTCACATGATAATCTCCAGAGCGTTTGTCCTCAGGGTTCCCCCACACATCTGGACTTCTGATCAACATGTTGAATATTTCTGATTCGCGATCGGGGCGGCTCCCGGATTGTCGGAAGGGGAGAAATCGGCCCCAAATCAGCCCCATTATCTTTTGGTGAGTATCCAGCATAACATTATAATAATAATGAACGTTAAGAACTTACAGACTTATACCAACATGGTGTGAACATAAGCTTGTGCAAATGATTGTGTTTGCATTTTTATTTTACTGACCCATTAACTACAAGCGTATCTTTCCCCAATATTTCAGCAAAAGTTGCAATAGTTTTCGTATTCAGTGCACTTTTGTTAAAAAGATTATAAATGTATGGATATGTACCCTGTAGTTTTTAAAAGCCTATACAGTATGCAGTATACATCATTTCAAAAAGGTGTTCTTGCTAAATTGCTCCCAAATGTAAGATTGTTAAATCATAAATAGTACAACAAGAACCCCTTACTTCTATAATACTTACGAAAGGAATAATTGACGACAGGCCGTTGAATTATCCGAAAAATAATGCACACCCGAGGTGGTAATGCGGTCACGAGGCGAAGCGGATTATCTTTCGGATTATTCAACGGCCTGGAGTCAATTATTCTACAGTTCAGTTAATGACCGCACCTCAAAACATTCTTCAGATGATGCATATCAAGACGTCTGTCAAGTTTTTGTCATTAAAACGCTCTTGTATGTAGGATTAATTTCTTGCGCATCTAATGCCATGCCTCCGTTGTTAATTTCAAAACGTCATTTTAAATCAGTTATTTTAAATCACTAAATCAGTAATGTCCCTTTATCGAAGAAGGCTTTAGAAACCTTTAAGGAACTGATGAGCAAGTGAGATGGTTCTCATACCAAACACGGCTTAGCTTTTCCATTCCATTTTAGGCTCTGACTACAGAGGTTAGGGGTCAAAGGATCATGACCTCCAGCTAAATATGTTCACACAGAGATGCCACAAGGAAGTATTTCATAAGACTCACAGTCACAGGCTTTTTCTGAATCAGACAGCACCCCTTATCGGATAATCTATGTGTTGGATATATAACACAAGTGTATGGCACTCATCATCCCTGAAGCTGCTGTCATTTCAATCTGACAGTATGAAAATAAGTCTATTAGGACTTTTAATGAGTTGTTCAGTTTAATGATTGTTCAGTCGTCAAAAAACCTTTCCAAAACACTTTTCAGGAGATTTAAATTCCATGAAACATGTTTTGAAAGTTGTGAAAATTTTAAAAGATGTGATTAGGACCTTTATACAGTGAACTGTTGTAATCTCATCTTCATCCACGTGAAATTAAATTTGGCATCTGTCCTTATAAGGTTTATTGACTACAGTAGAACATATAAGGGCCCCAAAACACAGAAGCCACAACAGAAATCTCTAGATATTGGTAAAGTAGATTAAAAAAAGATTAAAGCATTTTAAAAATGATAGCACAAGCAGATTTTTTTTTCATCCCAAACATTTTCCAAGAAGAAATTATAAAATAAGATACAATTAGTGCTGCAAATAAAGACATTCTATCTTAAAAAAATGTTAATGGTACATGTTCTCTGTAAGTAAACTCTGGACACATGTGTTAGGGATTTCCCTCGGATAAATTACATGTGCAATTTAAATTCTATCATCTTAAATTCTTCATCAGAATTTACCATGTTCACCATTCCACTTTGTCTAACGGATAGGTCAGATGGAATACCATTTGTATCAACATCAAGCCTTTTGTTATATTCCCCTGTCATTAAATAAAATAAATAAATTTTGAGGGGGTGACTGTAAATTTGATTTGAATTTATAAATACTATAGATTAATTAAAGCTGCAAGCAGCGATGAAAGGGCCCTCGCACACGTGCTATTGCAGGAAGTCAGAGCACATGGGCAGTGTGCTTTTAAGAAAATATAGGTGGAGTTTGTCAAAGTCAGTTACAAAAATGTCCTTTATTATGGGGATAATAGCATGTGTTATTACTCAGATAAGTGCTGCATGTTTTAGCATGTTCCTAACATGTTTAGAATGACCTATTTAAAGGGTTAGTTCACCCAAAAATGAAAATTCTGTCAGTATTTACTCTCCCTCATGTTGTTCCAAACCTACATGTGTTTATTTGTTCTGCTGAACACAAAGGAAGACATTTGGAAGAATGTTTTAATCAAACAGATCCCATTCCCCATTGACTACCAGTATGTATTTTTTTCTATGGGGAATGAGATCTGTTTGATTAAAACATTCTTCCAAATATCTTTCTTTGTCTATAACAGAACAAATAAACACATGTAGGTTTGGAACAACATGAGGGAGAGTAAATACTGACAGAATTTTCATTTTTGGGTGAACTAACCCTTTGTTGGTACTGCATCACACTGTTAATGAAAATTGTGACATTGGAGACCAACTAATTTCCATTAATTAATCAATAACAAATGTTTTCGATGGTTCTAAATACATTAGTGTAATGAGAATTGGTGTATTTGTATGAGTTCTGCTTAATTGTAAATTACTAGTGCAATTCCCCTGTAAAATCTGTTTTTAGTGAGTGTTAGTGTTGGTTTGGTATGTTTGAGTTTCTGAATAGCCTATGCTATTACACAGGAGCCTAAACTCTGTGAAAATGATAACGTCGATCGAGCGCACCAGAATAAAATATTATATTCAGAATTAAACGGTGTAGCTGACTTACAGAATCAGTTCAAACATCCACAAATAAAGAAGTGTGTCGATTCAGGGCTACACGGTGAACTCCGAGAAACAGCTACGTTTGAGCAAACGGTTTGTGAATCGGCTAAATAAAATATAATAATCAGATATTTTTAGACAACAACAACCCTATGTCAGAATGTTTATTTTTAAACCACCTCCTTTCACCGAGATATGCGAATAACAGACAGACGTTTCTGTAATTTATAGATGTATGTGTGTGCCTGTGTATAGTATTATATTTATATTCTACGTATGTACTGTGTGTGTATATATATATATATATATATATATATATATATATGGGTTTGGGTTTTAGTGCTCATTGTTACAATTACAAAGCAAAAGTTTAGTGAAATTTTTATTAGTGCATAAGGTTGAAAGCAAATACTGATACTGACAATGACATACAATAAATATGGAGAATTGAACTACAACTATAACTACCGACAACTAACTACTTCTGAATAACTATAATTCAGAAGTAAACAGTTTAGCTGACAGAATTAATGTTTATTTAAAGCACAATTTCAATGTGTGCTGCTTTTACCGATAGTTAACGATATCCTTTGCATTTCTAATTCAAAGTTAATTTGGTACTGCACTTACTCATGCCCATATAGCGAGACACCGGTCAAGGCTGAAATCCATCGGACTATCGGTTCGAGAGATATGCGATTAACACACAGACAGACATTCCTGTAATTTGCAAAAAGTCCTAAAAATTGCTTTATTTTTGTGCAAAATGTTACTTATTTTCCTTAATTTGTTGTGAAATGTGAAATGGCTGGTTTTTGTGTCCATTTCATGAAACAAGCTCATTTTGTTTTTTCTTTTGATATAATTGTTACTGTTTTTTCCTTTTCAAATTTTTAAGAGAAAATGCAACCAATTGCACATCTCATGAAATGCTGTTTATTGTAAAACGCACATTGTGAGAAAACATTGTTCCAATAAGCAATTGAATGACTAAAAGTGTTTGTACAGTTCAAGTGGCTGCTGTCAGTATTGGTCAGCCTGTTCACATTTGCTGTTTATTACCACATCTAATATTTCTTTCAGTAAATGAATGGCTTAACACACGTTTAACCACACTAATAGTCTTGTCACTAGTGCTCTGTGGCTTGTGAATATTTTCCATCCACCTTTCAATATGACAGGCATCAAAACCACAACACTATTATTAGTAGCTTTATGAATGTTTATGACACAACCGTCATACTCATTACCACAAATGCAGTTGCAATGCAACAATTGTGTATATAGTCCATAATATCACCATTGCCGGACAATCACAACTCTTAATGTGCACGTTAATAAATTATCTGTTGTTGTTGTTCATTGGCAGTTAACATACAGGCAATTTGCATCTCTCCTTTATCACCATTTCAGTAGTTTATTAAAAATATCACATTCTACATCATTTTGATTTGTTGTAATAAGTCACGCCTCATTTGATGTAGTTTTATTTTTATTAGCTTACTCTTGCCTTGTCAAAATTAATATTTCAAATGTTACTGGAGAAAAAATAGTTTTCTTTTATTGGGCAAAAGAAAGAAAATATAATTACTATAAAATATAGTGACATTAACATTTTCAAATGACATAATAAAAGAAAATTGAAATCCTGACACTAAGGCCCATCTTTTTCCACTCACTGTCATTTCTGAAAGTAAATAATGGAAAAAAGCATACTTTTTTTAAAGCCATTATGAAAACACATTAAATTAAACATGACAACAATGCACAAAATATTGAGCCTATAGTAGGCCTATACTGCACTATTTGCAGTCAAACCTAATAATCCATTGTGAACAGAACCAGTGATTTTAGAACATCTGAGATGCATGAAGTCATTTCCTCTTTCTAGAGTCAAAACAACTAAGCAAGTAATGAATCTCTTTTTGACGTAAAGTGTGTAAGTGGCATCTGTTGTTGCGTGTAAGTTATGATTGTCAGCAGTCATGCTATCTGCCCACATCAATAAAAGACGTCTCGCTGTTTCCCTCGAGCTGCACTCATATAGCTCTGCATCCAGCGTGCAACACCACATCGAGAGTCTGACACAGACAGGAAGTAGATCGGCTCTCCTTCCACTTTCCAAATGTGAGGAAGGTGTTTGTTTCTGCAAATATCGAAGATGGAATATTAGGGGGTTTCCTATAAAACAAAGGCACATGATGAGATCAAGCAACAGCGATCATTTCCTGGAAGAAGGAAGGAACTTGACCACACTAACTAATATTACATCACAAGTGTGACCCTCATATCTTATAACAGTCTATATTTTATTATACAGCTATAAGACCCTAAATAAGCTATTCTTAAAAGACCAAAAGTGGATTGCAAGTCTATTCTGATGGTCGACAACAGCGGCAAAAAAACAACAACAACATAACTAACCATATAACATGCTTGCTATCTTTTAAAAGTGAAATAGCCTAATTCACTCTTTTGTACAAATCATTGGGCCTATGCCATTATTGTTAATATGATTAACCTACACTGCCATTTTAATTATATTTGTTTGTTCATTGCTGAATGATAAACGAGTGTGGTACTGTAAGTGTTGAACAGTCACTCGATGTACTATAAGCAGAAACAGTTGAGAAGCTCGGACATGACCTGTTTTTGGGTCAATCACTACAGATTTCCTATTATTTCAAAAAAAAAAAAAAGTAAACTGTAAACTAGATAACTTTATTTACTTTATGGAAAATTAAAGTTTCACAAATAAAAACTTCCTGTGTCTCCAAGTTCCCATGTTTGTGTGCAACTTTACTGTATGTGTCCATGTGATTGTGAGGAGCCTTTCACATAGCCTTGTTATTAATATGTTAAACGACTTGACTCAAATAAACATTACTTTAAAATCTCCAAATTAGATAGATGTTCAATTACTTTGCAATGTCTTTTGTACGGCAAATGTAACTTTAATATTTTGGTTTAGCCTAGTTTTTAATAGTCATTATCAACTTAGACTGTGAACTGATAATGCAAGTTTGTAATAAGATTAAGACATAAGATGGCGTATATAAATAGTTTTGAGTTTGTGTGCAGACCAGATCGAGGCGTTGCCTTTGTGTCAGTAAACTATAGTTACAACAGAGCAAATAAACGAGTAATAGCCTATTACCTGACAAATAAACAACCAATGTAATCAACAGGCCTAACAATAATTAATAAAGATATGTGTGTGTTCTCCGATAGTGATTTTTTTGAACACCATTTACAAAATACAACGTACTTTACAAAGAATACACACATACATACACGTGTAAAATAATTGAAACATAATATAAACTATAAATAAAATAAGTTGGAGTGGATTCATATGAAAAGATTATGTTGATTGCCTCGTAATTTCCGTCTCTCTCTCTCTCTCTCTCTCTCTCTCTCTCTCTCTCTCTCTCTCTCTCTCTCTCTCTCTCTCTCTCTCTCTCTCTCTCTCAGCACTTCCGCTCTGAGAGACACGCGCGTCCACGGACACACACCGACACAAAGAGAGGTACACAACCGTTCAAACCTTACAATATACTTCACATTTCTATCATGTTTACGTCGGCGGTGCGTTAGGATGCCGTTATTCTCGTCTGGATGGTAAGGGTCAGAAACAATTACCCATCGATGTTAAAATGAAGATCGGTCTCAGGCAACTACGATCCCATAGTTATGATGACGACACAATTACTGTGTTTTTACTATCTATTCACCGCATTTGTGGGACGGGGTAAAGTTTGAGTTTGGTGAACTGCGTGTTTGTGCTTGACTTCCTTCGGTTTAATCTCGTGTCATCGATCGCGTGTGTCGCCGACGGATTCGTTTCGATCAGATTCAGATTCGGCGTCGGATCCACAACACGAACACAATCGACGGATTAACGTCTGACGGTTTAGAGGTGGTTTGGTTTTGCTGTTTTTCTGGGATGAAACGGGGGTAATCATGCGCAGGATCGTCCGTGTTGTTGATCTGGAGTTAAAGGTCAAACCCGCGTCGAAACACTCGATGTTACACACTCACACAGCGTTACACCACACTGCATCGTTACACACTGTTTAATCTTTGCGTAGATACGCTGTTCTGTTCACACAGTGTTGTACACAGTTTTTCTCAGGGAAGTGTGTTATGTTTGTTTCTCTCTCGTAGATCGGGATGTCGGATGAGGACTCGAGGGCCAGCTCTAGTTCATCATCCTCCTCTTCATCCTCCTCCACCCATCAGCAGCAGGAGAAAGACACACCTGGGAAAAAGAGAGATAAAGCCAACATGAGCAAGACCTCCAAACTCCTCTCCACCAGCGCCAAAAGGTGAGGAGAGCCCAGATCTGAGCTAGATTATTTCAGACTGTGGGCAAATGTATTTATACGTGACTCAAATCTGTTGTTCTCATGGCAGTGTGAACAACTCAAACCACATGGCATCTGATCTTTTCAATTCTGATCTGTGCCACTTCCATGTGTGGTCCTAAATCCGATATTTAGACTGTGTACTGAACGCTCACGCAGTCGCCTCAAAGATTTTACACACCAGAAGTTATCAAGAGCGTTGTGAAAGGGACTCAGACGAGCATCACGTCAAATGATTTCAATCAAATTTAAGTGAGCCTTAAAGATTCGCAAATATTTAATACCTACAGAGATCGTTTCAAAATGGAAATGAAAACATACGTTGAAAAATAAAATGTTTGGTGGTTAAGGGGGTAAACTTAAAAATACTATAAAATTATCAATTTGAACTATTTTTAAATTCTATTATAAGTTCAAATATACATCTTAATTGAAACATCTAGGTTGAAAATGGCTCTCGTCACATCTAGAGGAGGTTCACACAACACCGTTTTGGTTGCTGAAAACGCAAACTTTTGAAAACGGGTTTCAAAGTGGACGATTCTGAAAACCTTCTCCTCGTAAACAACAAAAATGCAGTCTCTGAAGATTGCAGAGACTGATTGCAAAATGTGCCTGCATGCTATTTATCCAGTCATGAATTTTGTCATTGAGAATTTTTGAAAAATTGTGCAAAAATCTCGTCTCGTTCTCGTGAACCCAATCTTGTGTCTCATCTCGTGAGATGAGTGTCTCGCCACAGCCCTACTAACTTAAAACGTAGCCATATTTTTCATTTAAAATAGCAAATTTAGACAAAAAGTTGAGTACTTTATTTGACTGGATATTGCTGTCTGTCGTATAACATTTCTATCATAAAACAAGTGTGGTGCTGGAACTCATTTGTCTTTGATCTGATTAACCTAAATTATTCTGACTAGACCATCAATGCCAAAAGGACTCCTGTGATGTTTTGTCGTCGAGTGCAGTAGTTTGAAGGCGGCGTCACGTCGTCTTAGGCAGGAGGTTTTCTTTCTCAGACGACGGGTTTCACCGCTTTCATGTTTATTTTCAGGATTCAGAAAGAGCTAGCTGACATCATGCTGGACCCCCCACCCAACTGCAGGTAAGGGAACGCTTTGGCTTTAATTGAAATTGTCCACCTGCATTAGTGGGTATCAATGTTTGGATCATGATTAAAGAAGAACCAGATGCAACAGACAGACTTCATACAGCAAACAGAGGTCACATAAGCGACATATCATTGGCCAAAAAAGGTCCACCGTCTATTGTCAATTTATATGAAGCGCCGAAGTCGCTTTCAAACAAAACATCTTTTTGTTGGTGAAGATGGCAAATTTGTGTGACGTGCAAACTCTGCTCAGGGCATTGTCCATTCGACTCCGAACTGCACAGATTCCTATTGAAATGTTTGGTCTTGGTTGTAGTTGCAGTGTATCCTCTAGCTCTTCTTTAATTGTATGTGGTTGGCATCAGTTGCATACATGAATGTACCTGATTCAGAGAGGTCAAAGTGTGGTTGGTGCTGTAGCTGTGTCCTGTTCTAGATAACCCAGCTGGAGTGAGGGATAAGCATGATAATGAACTTTAATTTAGTTTAGTCTAAGAGTGGATTATCAGGAAAGTGTTATATATATATATTTGACCCAGAGAGCTCCAGTATAACCCCCTGAGCATGAAATGCTCACCAGAACAGCACGATCTGATGCGTTTGTGTTGGTAATAAATGTAAAAAAATGTATAATTTATGTGACAAGTTGCTCTTGTTCAAATTTTGTAAGACGCTTAGGAATGATAAATGTTTCAAGGGGTCATGAACTGGCTATTTAAATTGTATTGTATTGTTGTCTGAGGTCAACGTATGACGTTCGCTTGCATTCGTCGTTTGCATTCAACGACATCAAAATGAATCAGTAATCGGCTATTTTCTACCCTAGTTTTGAGCTTAGCTGAATAACGCTGGTTTTAATGGGCGTCTCGCACTGAAGACTTGGAAGTAAACGCCCACTGCTGTGAGTGGAGAACAGTTTTGCATATTATAATGAGTTTCAACTCACCCGTCAGTGTTTTGAAAACATCCAATGTTGTAAAATGGCGAATGATTGGCCAAACAGACGATGATGTTTTACCCTCATCAGTCATTATAAATAAAGTTTATCCATGCAGTCCTACTGGAGTCCAGAGGAAGCTGATGCAGAGACTGTCTTCTTCCACAATATTCTGTATCGCTCACTAGCTCGATCCGGTGTGTCATCACGAGGTAGGCATCTATGTTATTTAGCTATGCGTGTAATGCGTGAATGCGGGGGTGGGCGGGGCTAAACAGGCCGTGTTGAAGTAGGCGTTGATCTTCTTCTGCGGGGGTGGGGTTTGTTTTATCCTCTTTCCCCCTACCCTAACCCTAACCCTAACCTTAGTTCATATAAATACAATGTTCATTTTAATAGCACAAACAGGCACTAATCACGCACGCACACACACACGCACGGATGATGGCAGTTCTGTGTGATTGAAATGAAATGGGCTGGAGTGACTGTACAGCTCCTGAATTGTTCTGTGATCTGTGGAAGGAAACGGTCAGTGTTTGTTTTAATGGCACAAAACCACTAATAACTATTGGAGTGATCTGAACAACATGGGGTGGAGAGTGATGGGAAATACCCAAAACAATAGTGTTTAATATCTCGAACACTACGCCAGCCCAGCGCCACAAATCAGCAGAAACTAATAGCATCGATTTGGGGATTAGGCCTATTTTGTTTAATGGGATGCCAACTTTACCGAGGAGAACGAACCATGTGATTTGAGGTTTGTTTGTTGTCTGTAGTTCATCAGATCACTAACCCTGAATGAGCAATAGTCTAGCCTGAGCAGCGCTATATTCCTCTCATGGTGTTTATTGTATTGTTCTTTTTTTTAAGACCTCTGGCTTTGTGTGTGTGTGTGTGTGTCCGTGCGTGTGTGTGTGTGTTGTGTCTCAAAGCAAAAGTAGGCATTGTAAATTCCCCAGAGGATCCTGTGACCTTTGATGTTGTCAGACAAGTGTGTGTGTGTGTGTGTGTTTATAGATGATGTTAGCTCAGAGGTTGTTGTAGGACAAACAGAACGTGTTTCAGAGCTGCTGTTCTTCGGCGCTTTCGCTTGTTTTGCCACTCAAACTTTCGACTACATTAAACAGAGCCGTCGCTTTGCATCTGGAGACATTGAGGGCGTCTAATCGATCAGTGTTATCTGTTATCTGTGCACGGATATAAAGCCTTGAAGTTAGAAAGTTGTGTTCTGTCGGCCTAATATCTGACAGACTTCAGTGATCCTCTATGACGAAGTTAAGCTGCTCTTCTTGGTTTGGTTGTCATGGGACGTTTGGTGAAGAGCTGAACACTTGCTTTGCGTAGGTTTGCAGTTGAATGTGAAATGATTGGAAATGCAAAAATATAATGCAATAGCCTGTCTCCATAATGTAGTCAGTGCTGCTGTGACTGCGTGTGTGTTTGATACAGCTGTGGGACATACGACTGCGTTTGGTCTTTCGCATCTCACATAAGCAGTAGATGTCTTTATCCGCACCTTTTGTTTTACTAACCCATACCGATAAATATTTTTTTATAGTGCAATCTTGTAGCAAAAATGTGTTCAGTGCAAAACTCTGTCTGTATCCTGCTAATATGGACAGTCTAAAACTAACACATGGCTTTTAAAACAGACATTTGCAAATGAAGCAAAGTCAAATTCTGAGGATTTTTGGTTGTTTGCTAGTAATATGTGATGATGAGGGAATTTAATGAGAGAGAGAGAGAGAGATCTGTTTTGAAGCTTGTGTTTTTCGTGTGGATTCTTCAATGAATATAAAGTTTAAAAGAACTGCTTGATTTCAGATTGGAATCTTGTGTAACAAATGGTTTTACATAAAAGTTTGATGATTTAATACATTCTTGCTAAATGTATTCATTAATTATTTTTTGAGTCAAGTTTTGTTGCTGGGTAAACTTGAGCCTAAATTTGCCGTGCAGATTATTTTTAGGATATATATTTTGGACAGTGTATTTGCACTGCCCTGAAAACGCCGAGGGACAGATGCGTTTAGCTGACTTTTATAAAAGCTGTAAATGAAGTTCCTTCTGTGAAGTTTCAGATCCGTAATTTAACCTTTTAAAAACAGTCTTATATATATTTAACTGTACTAAAAAGCTTGTTGTTCCGCTTAATATCACAAACTATATATATATATATATATATATACTATGGTGTTTCTTACCATAGCAGTTAAATGTATTGTCTTAATTATAACACGCTGGTTTGTAGCACACAATTTTTCCTTTTTGATGTATTTCTAGACAAAGCTGCTTAAAATTCTACAGATATAACAGACTTTTGTGCGATTGACCCTTTGTGTTGTCAGTGCCGGCCCTAAAGGAGACAACATCTATGAGTGGAGGTCCACTATCCTGGGTCCCCCGGGGTCCGTGTATGAGGGAGGAGTGTTCTTCCTGGACATCGCTTTCACGCCGGACTACCCCTTCAAACCACCCAAGGTATACAGAGCCTTGCCCCCATCAATATTAATAATGCACACGTACATCTGACAGCATAATGATTTTGTTCACACAGTTTGGGATCAGTAACTTTAAAAAAAAAATCAATTAATACATTTATTTAGCAACAATGTATTTTATTTATCAAGTTACAGACTTTTACACTCTTCAAAAAATCAATTTCAATTAAATGTGTTCTTTTGAACTTTTGATTCTTCAAAAAATCCTGAAAAAACACTCGGTTTTCACAAACAGTTAAGCAGCAGCACATCTGTTTTCAACAGTGATGATCAAGACTGCTGGAAATCCAGCGTTTGCATCACAGGGAAGGGAATACATTGCATTTTAAAATTATTCAAGAAGAAAACTGTTATTTTAAATTATTTCACAATAGGGTTTTCCGTATTTTTAATCAAATAAATGACTTTTTTATGGGCGTCTGTAGAGTTTGATCATCAGGCCCCTCACCCCCGCTTATGTCTTTTAAGAATTGAATAGTTACCATTAGACTCTATCTGAGCAGGGGCACGTACCACCCACTGGCCCCTCTTTTACTCGGAGGAGTTTGCAGGTCTTCATTTTCAGTTTTGGGTGAACTAACCCAGTTTAAGTTCTCTGATGAGTCACTTGATGGGGATTTGTTGTCCTGATCTGTCAGGTGACGTTTCGCACGAGGATCTACCACTGCAACATCAACAGTCAGGGCGTGATCTGTCTGGACATCCTGAAGGACAACTGGAGCCCGGCACTCACCATCTCCAAAGTGCTGCTGTCCATCTGCTCTCTCCTCACGGACTGTAACCCCGGTAAGATGCTCACCCATGTGGAAGAGCGGATGTGCTGGTCATGGGCTGAAGCTCCAGTGTTTGTCAGTGTGTTGGAGCTCCACCTATTTGACCTAGACTATAGAGAAGGCAGTTTCAGGTGTGAGCATTTATGCAGTCGCTTAATGCTCATGTATACAACTGCACACACATTTTCAGTTCACCTCATGTCTGAGCGCTCTGTGCGTTTCACCTTTACCTCATGAGTAAACGGTTCAGAGATGCACCAGTCCACCGGACATGAATCCGAACCGGACGGAATTGGCAAAGCAGGTTTTTCCATTTTATTTAAGCAATTAGGGAAGCATCAAAATGAAAATTGGGCTGAAACCAGAAATGGGTCTAAAACTAAACGGGTCACGACAGTTTATTTTATCTGAAGGCTTGAATACATGTATTTGCCATATTCACGGGTCAACATTTTTTAGAGAAAAAACGCAACACATAAGTTCAATCCAAATCAATGCTTGCGTGTTTGGCATTAATTTGATCATAAAAGTCGCTTTGGATTATAAAACGCAGCACGTTTCAGATGAATGGATGGTACGTTTAGTTAATTATAAAAGCAAAGTGTTGTTTAAAAATTCAATCCATTTCAAATGGACATTCACCCAATATATGTAGTATTGTTGTGAATGATTTTATAGTATTGTGTTGCTATTAGAAAAATCTGTCTGTGTTTGTACTATGTACATTGAAGAAACTGAAGTATCCTTTGGGCTAAATACAGTAGTTGCCAAAAGTGATGTTCAGCTTAGGAAAGTTTTTATTTTTACCCTTTATTCAAATATTATTCAGAATGTGTTTAAGATTTTCGAAAGCATGTTGCGTAGTTGTGTGTGGAGTCAATTATTTATATAATCTTTGGCCAGGCTGTCATACTAAGACATGAACACATGCAAAAACTAAATTTTAAAAAAAAAGATTGACTTTTTTTTGCCAATTAATTGTCTGATAAATATAAGTTTAGTGTTTCCCCTCATATTTATATTTATTTTTGTGTAAAATGTAGGGTCATTATAAACAAATCCCCAGCTGACATCACTTTTGTCCACTCCCTGCGAGTTGTCAAGGGACTTCAGTTCAGTCGCTTTTGATGGAGACGCTACTGTAGGAGTCTGCCTGTATAGATTGTAGATGTAGCTCACTCTCGTCTCTAACCTGAAGAATCCTGTGCCTGTTCTACAGCTGACCCGCTGGTAGGAAGCATCGCCACGCAGTACACCACCAACAGACCCGAGCACGACAGGATAGCCAAACAGTGGACCAAACGCTACGCCACATGATCCCTCCGAGTGTGTGTGTGTGTGTGTGTGTGTGTGCGGGGGCGGGGGGTCTGGGCAGATACAGGGGGGGTTTTATGATGGAATTTAAATTCAATTTAAATTTCAATTATTTCGTCTTTCCCAGCTTTGATTTGTTGTTGTGTTTGTTTCCCGTGGCTCAAGTAGCATCATGATTTGACAAAAATGGATCTTAATGTGTTTTCTTTGCCGCCTTGTTGTAAATCTTTTTTTGAAGCTTTGTCATTCTTGTCAAATTAAATCACGGCACGAGCCTTTAGCGAGATTGTTCCATGTATGTATTTTCCCCACCAATATTAAAGTGGAAGTTGGTGTACACTATCGTGCAGTCTCTCTCATGTCAACAACAATGCAATAATTCAGGTGGAAAAACACTTCTATATTTCTACTACATGTCACAAAGCCTGCCAAGAACATCTATAGAGCATATTTCACTCCAAAATCAAAGAAATGATTAAGATATTCTGCACTATAGGAGCTTCCAGAATGCTGTTAAAGCAACTTTGATGTGCACATTTTTTAATGAACTGAAATGTAGCGGCAAGCAGAAAAAAGACAGTCAATAAATATTTATTTTGTTGAATCAAAACATGACATAGTGCATAAGTGAAGTATTTGTTTAAATCTGTTATATACATTAGAACATGTGCGAAGACAAGAAGGATTTCACAATTTGTGAGTTTTAAACATTGGAGATTTCCACGAGCTGCTATAGCAGGGACACTCATTACGCATGTTATCTTTTTGGACTACACACGACTTCTTCCCACTAGCTACATGAGATACGTCGCTTTGGGATTTTAAAGCTACGATTATAGTTGTATTTGGAAATAATACTGGAAGACATCAAACTGCATAACTTTAATATACAACCTAATGTTACATATTTTTATTAACTAATTTTAAAGCACTTGCTGGCTGAATGAAGTTCAAGTTCACCTCTATATATATATATACTATACCATTAGACCATTTTGCATAAATGCAACTAGGGATTCTCATGTCCAGGTTAGATTGAAGTTTGAAAAAAAAATTGAAATTGAATTGATAAATAATCATCATATTAGGATTAGTTGTACTGCCAGATTCAACAAAAAAGCAGTAGTGTTTTATTGAGAATAACTACAAAACCTCAATGTCAACGAGAATGACCTGTTTTAGTACTTTTTAAATCATTCACACTTCACAATAAGGTTCCATTAGTTACTTCACTAATGTAAACTAACAATAAGCAATACATTTGTTACCGTACTTATTAATCTTTCTTACCATTAATTATTACAAATCTGTTTGTTAGTTCATGTGAGCTCGTGTTCATTAATGTTAGCAGATGCAACTTGATTTTAATCATAAATGTTGAGATTAACATTTACTAGTACTATTTATAGTAATAACTGATGTAGTTTTCTGGTTTGAACAAACCTTATTGTAAAGTGTAACCGAAAACACTTCTCGTGATTGTAAACCAAGCACACTAAACCAGCAGTTCGCTATGGAGTGCATCTGTGTTCTACCTTCTCCCATCACTGAGGACAAACATGACCTAAAACAGTAGTGCATTTATTTGTGTGTAAATGGATCTTCTCCAGGAGCCCTTAAACATGTTGATTAGAGATTATAGAGCTGGAACTGTGCTGTGACTTCAGATGTCGTTGGATGGGGTTCCCTTGCTCTTGCGTCCGGGCAGAGGGAAGGCAGACTTGCTCTGAGGCTGTGTGAGGCGGCTGGTGAGGCTGGTGAAGGGTTCGATTAGTGTGCTTCTGTCGGTCACGGTCACCTCCCAAAGTTTGACCTTCTCCCCACGAGCCCAGAGCTGGGCAGCGTCCTGATCCACCTGTCGGCACTCGCTGCGCAGGTCACACTTGTTCCCCAGTACGATCACCATCACCTGCACAAGCACACACAGCACATCAACACGGGTGTCCGCTGGGGTGAAGTCAGATTGTCCACGTCCTACTTTACTCCAGAATCCAAAAAATTGTAAATTGGGCCATAATTCTCATGGAAATCACTAAAAGAAATATATATTAGTATTTTAAATCTTCTTGCCTCTTTTTTGTCTCTGGACTTGTCTATCTCCTTCTTCAAGAGCTCGACTTTTCTGAAGGACTCCAGACTGTCCACACTGTAGACCAGCACGAAGCCGTCGGCCACGGAGAAGAAGTGTTTGGGCAGATCCAGCCCGTCGCGGAGCCCCCTAGTGTCGTACAGACGCAACTGCTCCCTCACGCCGCGGTCCGTCTCCACCGACGCCACATATATGTCCTCCTGAGTGTCGTTTGTTTCTGCACCTGAAACAGGACCCGTTTCATTTAATGTCTACTTATACCTTCATAACACTGTGTTTTATGGACGGATCACGTACCTGCAGTGTGAGAGCCGTACAGTAACTGCTCCAGGATGGCTGTTTTCCCCACCGATGCCATACCACAAACCACAACCTTACAACCCTTACCCATAGTTCCCTAGTCTGAAACAAACACACACACACACACACACACACACACAACACAACCAGAACCACCAGCAGAGCAGCAGTGTAAAAACATGACAGGTGAACGTCAAATTAGGCAAAAATGCTTAGTTTTCTAGTTTTTCCATCATTTATTAAATTAAAATTTTAATTTATTTGTATAAATAACAATGTAGCCATTTAAACTGGGGGGAAACATAATTTAATTATTTGCTTATGCTTTATATGATGCTCATGTTCCCTAACATGTTTTAGCAATCGAAGCAAGAAATTCGCATTAGGTTCCCAGGAACACTGATTAGTGACCTCGATGCAATCGTTTCTTTATTTTAAATGTTACAATGATTTTTTTTTCTGTCTTTCTATTTATTTATATATTTTTAGATTTCAATGCAAAACTGATTTTTAATGTGGTTACAGACTTTTGGATACCAGTATGCATGACAGTGATAAATATATTTAAATTTACATTAAATTTTGCATAGCTTAAATAAAATAAACATAATTCGCAGTATAGTGTTTGTTATATTATATAATGATGGTTAAAGGCATTGACCAGTTGTCTTAACTTGAGACCAGACATGCATTCATTACTAAACAATAACTCAATAACTCACCTTTCGCGGATTGCTTGACAATAAACATATGATCGAAGAAATCGATCATATAAGACATGAATATAAGACTTTTAATACCATCACTGTGTGCTAGACTGGTGTTATCAAACGTTCCTTCCGGGAGTTGTTTTCCGGGGTCTGATAAGAGAACGGTGGCAAAAAAACAACAACAAACAAACAAAAAAAGATATATTACTTGAGATTTAAGAATATATGTGTTATGAAAATGTTTCAGCGCAGTGTATCTGTTCGGTTAAATACGATTGTGACTCATAAAATCTAATTCTTAAATACAGACTACATTTCCCAGAACTGTTTAACGGAACGGAACCGGAAATTCGCAAGAAAAACTCTAATAAAGCATTATGGGTAAATCTCATCTCTCTTTCCGGTTAGTACGCCATCAAGTAAGCGAGACTTTCTCATTTTCTGCTTTTAGAATCCATCAAATATCTCAATGTGTTTAATGACATCCAGATCACACAATTAATGTATTTAATGCGGAATATCTTAGCTGTCCTTTCTAACCATTATTTCTCTCCCATAAGGGGTGATGTACAGTCATTTTAAAGCTAAACTTTGAAGATTAGGTAGCTAATGTCATGCCGAGTTTGCACGTTTCTTCCACTTTTAGTCAGATCTGAATTAAACATGTTATATTATGCCAAATGTCATTTTCTTGCATAGCATGTTTAAGGGTTTCCGAAATCATTGTGACTTCAGATTTGAGTTGTTTTCGCGTGACTGTATAATGTTACGTGTGTCACACTCAGTCGCCACAACACACACTGCTAATGGCTATTCTCCCTTTAAGCAACTGCTTTGGATATGTAATATAAGATCTTAAAACTGTTACTCCTGCAGAATAGAGATGTGATCTGCTCAATAGATGTCTGACCCATCATATTTTGGGTGATAATGCCGTACACTGCGGACACGAGTCGAGTTAGTGTGTGTGTGTGTGTAAGGCTGCTTGTGATGTTGTATTAAGAGTGTAAGTGCTCGTGTAGTATTAATGAGCTCATGTAATGTGAACACAGGTGAGTAAAATGGTGTTTGTAAAAGTTTTAGGAGCATAGTCAACTTCTGAATAAAATCAACATCCAAGTTGTCTGCATGTGTATGTTCATTAATCCTGCGGTTTCATGACTTTAATTCTTGGTGTCACAGGTGAGGCATCATGGGAGCGTACAAGTACATGCAGGAGCTATGGAGGAAGAAGCAGTCGGACGTGATGCGGTTTCTGCTGCGTGTGCGGTGCTGGCAGTACCGGCAGCTGTCCTCCCTCCACAGGGCTCCGAGACCCACCCGACCCGATAAAGCCCGCAGACTGGGATACAAGGCCAAACAGGGTGAGTGAGTGGTGTCTTGGGCTTTACTGGGCGATATATCACACACAGCACTTCAGTACGAGTGAAACGATTTTCAAACAATCCCATTGCTGAGGCGAAGAGAGGTTGACACAAGTACAACTTACCGGAGTGTATCATCTTGTAATTGTGTTTCTCTCCCCAACCCCTGTAACGAACTGTGACGTCGAAACGCGTCACTAATTTCAGACATTTTTGTTGTGTTTTGAGAGAGCGGTTAAGGTGCTAATGAATTAACCACACAGTTTAGCATTACCCAGATTTTTTGGACTGTTACTTTATTTTCTGTTACTTAGTTAAATATTTCTGGGAAATGTATTGTGCCTATGAATTTGATTTTGTGATTAAATGCACTGCATAGCAATATAATGAGATGTTTGTAGCGCGTGGTGCTGAAACAGTGATGTCTTATAGTCATATTCACCTGATTATCGCTGATTTTTGTCGGTCAGTTATTTTAACCACTGAATTGAATGTCCTTTAACTGTTTTTGTGTGTATCTGAGCTCTCTGTGCTCTTGCCCAAACAGGCTACGTCATCTACCGTATACGTGTGCGCCGTGGAGGTCGCAAGCGCCCCGTGCCTAAAGGTGCCACGTACGGCAAACCCGTGCACCACGGCGTCAACCAGATCAAGTTCGCGCGCAGCCTGCAGTCCGTCGCTGAGGTACGTGAGCATCACAGCCATGTGGCTAAGCTAATAAAATGCAAAATCTATCACTTCTGAAGTTTTTTTTTTTAATTGTATTTATCTTTCCAGAAAATGTTGTGGAAAAGACAATAAACAAAAAATGACAATTTATCTGTTTTCCAAAATGTGTTAAAATAAAAGCCCAATGTGACATATGTAACGTAAATGTATCCTTAATGCCCAATGAGACACATTTGTAAGATTACAGGTCTTTGACAGGAAGTTGTTATATTTAAAGAACAGCAGAAACATGTTTTAGTTCTCCATTTACTGTTTAAATGCCCCGTAGTCTTCCTATAAGGGGAAATGGTCCGGGTTCTTATGGGTTAAAAAATAATTCTCTTTCCTTCGTCACGGCGACCGTATCACTTTATTCTGTTTACATCCGCTTTTCTGCTTCCGATCTGCTGCGTGTGATCACGTGAGCCGCTTCCTCTGACACGATGATCTTAATAACACTGTAGTGTGTGATGCGCTGCGGTTTCCCAATCTTGTAGTGTGAGCATGTTTAAGATTCGAGTAAATCTGCTCAGATTAAGCGTGAGCTGCCGTCAGATGGGGTTTTAAATCTCCTGTAGTGTGGGACGGGCGCCAGTAACTCGCCAGTCTGTGCCACGAGACGGAGGTAATTGGCTACTGTTTAGAGGGCCTCCTTCATGCTTGCTCCATCTAAAATAGATTCTACATTTATACACTTCAATACACCCTGTCCAATTATGTCCTACAGTGTTCATACTGAAGCTGTATCATGTGCTAAATTACATTCTATCATCATCAACATAAGCATCTGTATCTGATGCCAACAAGCAGAGCATCTGATGCATAGCATTAACTGCATCTCGCAAGTTATTTTGAGACCTTAATATATAAAGCATGTCTCATGTTTTGGACTAATTTGGTTTTGTACTTTACCTTTTCCTCTGCTTTCTGCGATACACATCTTTGTTGTGGTTTGAAAAGTCTTGCTTTATATACGTTTTATTTTTATACAAGTGGCTTTAATGTACACAGTTGAACACCTGTGTAGTTTGTGGCCTGTGTCCAGGTGTGGTGTCGTGACCCCTCTGCTGTGTGTGTGTGTTTTCAGGAGCGCGCTGGCCGTCACTGCGGGGGTCTGCGGGTGCTGAACTCTTACTGGGTCGGTGAAGATTCCACATACAAGTTCTTTGAAGTGATCCTCATTGACACCTTCCACAAAGCCATCCGGCGCAACCCCGACACGCAATGGATCACCAAGGCTGTGCACAAGCACCGGGAGATGCGCGGGCTCACGTCCGCTGGCAAGAAGAGCCGCGGTCTGGGCAAGGGCCACAAGTTCCACCTCACCATCGGCGGCTCTCGTCGCGCGGCCTGGAAGAGACGCAACACCCTGCAGCTGCACCGCTACCGCTAAACCGCGTGTGCTACAACTGTACATTTATACTAATAAAGTACCTTTCTATGGTCATGTGATTCGTCTTTACTTTGGTTTTAGACCAACGGGTTCTGTAAAATGCAAGTTATCAAGGTAATAGAGTGGTTATTTGCACTATTCAGAGTTAGCATTGCAGGTCTTTTCCACTAATGTAAATTCCAAGGATTAGACAAGTAGTCTTGATCCAGATTCGTAAATCCCACATTTTTCTATCTATGATCCGGTATTTATCATTTGCGCTGTTTGATCATGATAAACATTTTCCAAAAGCAGATTTCCAGCTCTTTAAACGGGATTGTGCATCACAGTGCTGGCTAGGTGAAGAACGGGACCTTTCCATGTTGCAGTCACGTTTTTTATTTGAAGATACAGAAAACGGCACAAAAATGAAATTTTCTATTTGAGTTTTGTCTTTTTTTAGAAGATCACTTTTTTGACCCACACATTTTTCGTGTTATGGGGATGCATTTGTTAAACTACTTACTGGTTTGTGTGCAGTGATTGTCATCATTTTCAGTGATGAATGACTGTTGTGAAAGGAATAATTTTATGGGTACAAAATCTCTAAACTTTACTGAAAGGCTTAGTAGATTGTCGACTTAAAATGTATTAATTGCAAATATAAATGTGTGTAATACATACACTATGATACCTGAATCCTCCCTTCTGGGATAAGGATAATCCAGATTTGCTGGATCAAAGGTTTCCCGATCATGCTAATGATTTAACAACACCTACTAAAGGTTTGCTCCAGATCTAAATCAAGACTGGATTATTTTCTGTAATTTGGTCAAAGAACAGTAATAAATTAGGAGACATTAGGCTACTCTATTAAGCATTTCAACAGCCTACAAAATGTAAAGACAGCTTAAAATAGTCCCCAAACAGCTGTAAATATCAAACAAAAACATGTTTTATTATTATTTGTTTATCACTGTAAACTACATTGGCACGAATCGAGAGTCAAAAGTCGAAATTTCGTCCTCTCCCTGAAAGAAGGCGGTGAAGTGCACCAAAGACAGGCATGTTTAGCGCGGGGTCCGTGTGCTAGCGGTGGTGACGTATATCAAACGCGTCGAAAGCAGCGAAGAGTTGTAGTCCACAAAGTGCTCTCACACCAACCGTATGAAAATTCTACCTGCTGAATTGTAGCATTCTTTACACGAAAAATTGTATAAAAAATTCACAAACAACATATGTTCACATTCATTGCAAAATTCAAACGGGATTAGAAAATAATTTAATCTAATTAGAGAATCTAATTCTCTCATTCAGGTGGTATTTGGTGAATTCTTGTAGACCTATTCTAAATGTTATTTGTTTTTAATTATCTAGAATGGTAAAATGCCTATCAAATTCTCAGATTTACATATCAATGTGTGTTAGTCTTGTATATATAACAAGACTAAATGGTGTCATTCAGTTGCCTGTCGGAATGTCGGAACCTTTATTCTCTTATTCATGTTTCCTGCCGACTGAAATGAACTCGGGATCGATTTCCTGTTGTAAGTTGCACGCGCGTACGCAGGCTAAACTAAACAACAATTGAATAAACTAGGTACTTTGAATTTAGTAAATCACAATGGAAACGATTTTAGAGCAACAGCGTCGATACCACGAGGAGAAAGAGAGACTTATGGACGCCAAAACGAAGGAGATGCTGACGAAAAAAAACACGGTAATCTTACAGATCTGCGAATGAATTTAAATTATGCTAATACATGAATTGACGTAGCCTGCTTTTGCTTCTGTAGCTACCGTTTTTTACGACCATGGTATTTTGAAGTACCTTCAAATGTTTCAAAAGTTACAAACATAATTTGAACTTCACTGTTAAATAACGTAATACCATTGTAAACATTACGTACCATCAATGCACGATTATGTTCCTGTCACCTCAATGTAAGCTAGAACAAAATGAACATTATGTTTTCCTGATATGATTCCTTCAAACTATTTATTTTCATGTGGAAACTATCACACCGTTGTATGTTTTAATAATTTATGCCATTTTCACAAGCATTATATAATGATTATATAATTTCTAATATCTGATTGGTTGTCTCATGCTGTATTATTTATTTGATAAATGTTCCTTTTTCTGTTCAACAGCTGAGAGACCAGATCAACTCTGATCATCGAGTGAGAGCTATGCTGGATGTAAGATTCATCTGTTCATTCATTCATTCAATGTCACAGTTATGGACACATTTTAAAGTCAAAGACCTGATATGTTTGTGTTATTTACTACATGCAGAGGTACATGGAAGTGAGCGCAAACCTCAGAGACTTGTATGAAGACAAAGATGGGTAAAACATTCTCGAGGACAATTGAATCCGTTTCGAAATATATCTCCCTCATTGTCTGTGATAACATGGCTGTGTTGTGTCTCTGTTCTTCAGAATGAGGAAGGATGAGCTAAACGCAATCTCTGGTCCAAACGAGTTTGCTGAATTCTACAACCGACTCAAACAGATCAAGGAGTTCCACAGAAAGCACCCTAATGAGGTAGACCTGACGTTGCTGTCTTTCACTCTCACCCTGTTCTGAATCGCATGATTTTGCTAAATATACACTCTACTCTAAATATACACTTGTCTATTCCAGATCTGTGTGCCCATGTCAGTGGAGTTTGAAGAGCTCATGAAAGCCAAAGACAACCCTAGTGAGGAGGCACAAAGTAAGTATTGAGGACTGGAAGGGGTGTTTGATAAGGCAATCATCACTAATGTGACTGCATATAATAGAACATTATAATACCTACAGTGATTAGGAATTAACCCTAAATATTAAAAAAATGCCTTTTAATTAATTAATTTTTTTTTTTTTTACAAGTCTTGATTTAGTTTGTAGGGTCTAATCATTGAAAGAGAAGTCTCACACCACAGTTACAGCAATAACTACACAAAATAATGAGAAAGATGGAAACACTTTCACAACTTTTGTTGTTGATAAATGATAAAAACATTGACAGCCAATTAAAATCCATCCGTCGTTAAAGAGCTTGAGCATTTAAAGCGGAAGACGTTATAACTGCAGCGCGCGCTTAAAACAAACAGAAAATGATATCGTTTGGTGTGGACCGTAGTGTAGTTCTAGTTCCTGTTCTTGGTGTAAACGGGTGTTCTTGCTGATCACAGATCTGGTGGAGTTCACTGATGAAGAAGGTTACGGGCGTTACCTGGATCTCCACGACTGCTACCTAAAGTACACTAATCTGAAAGGAGTTGAGGTACTGTTTGATTTACTGGTTTATTTAAATTGTCTGCCTTAAAAAAAAATTGAGTAAAAGATTCTAATGCTTTTGTCTGTTGATCTCTTCTAGAAACTGGAGTACGTCACTTATCTGTCAACATTCGATCAGCTCTTTGACATCTCTAAAGATAGGAAGAATGCTGAATATAAGAAGTATGTGAAAGCTGCTCATTTTTAATACCATAAACAGGAATAAACAACTGATCGAAATAAAAATTACATACGTTTTTATTTAATACTAATAATAAAAATATATATTTTTTTAGTCATATTTATAGGTTTTTGGTTTTCCATAAGAGTGAGTGAATTTGTATTTTCAGTCGATTTGCTATTTTTGTTGACCAAATATATATTATTATTATTTACAGTAGTGGCCAAAAGTGATGTCCAGATAAATATAAATATCTTAACCAAGTTTAGTTTTTTTTATTTTTTATTTCTCCCTCATAGTTAAAGTAAAAACATTTTCCCCTTATTTTTATATTTTAGTATAGTTTTAGGGTCATTAAAAACATATCCCCTTCACACTTCACTTTTTGACCGAAAAAAATAATATAGATGGATATAAATGATCCTTTATAAGGCTGTAATGTGAGGTTTATCATTTTATCAAACTTGTTTTTGTCAAACATGTATTATTAGTTTAAATCATATAATTTTACAGCGTAGGCTGTCACCATGGACCAAAGCAGTGAGCTGTGTCTGCTCTTGCAGGTATCTGGAGATGTTGTTGGAGTACCTGCAGGAATACACGGATCGGGTCAAGCCTCTCCTGGATCAGAATGACCTCTATGGAAAGATCCTGGTCGAGTTTGAGAAGAAGTGGGAGAACGGGATGTTCCCAGGCTGGCCGGTGGGTTTGCGACGACAATAATGAGCTCTACAGATCATATTACATGTGTTTCAGCAGTGGCTGCATTTTCTCCAAACACACGTGACCATTTATTGATTATTTAATATTCATCATCACTGCTGAAATAACCTTTGATGTTCCATTGGAGGTTACCAAAGAAGTATTGCAGGATAGTGAGGTGTAGGTACTCAACCAGAAGCCCATCACCGCCGCGACCTGTGCTAAAATAAACCAGTTGCATTTCAAAGTTGTTCGCGAAATGACCGCCAGGTGGCGCAAAGGGGCATTTAACTAACTATCATTTATCAACTACCGTCTAAACGCTGTTCAACTGTCTTATGCTCTTCCAAAGCCTGATATTTTTATATTGCAATGTTTTATGTTTTCAATATTTTTTCAATTTAATTTCAGTATTATGACTTTCTAAATGGACTGTATTTTTCTGCTTTGTTGTTGTGGAGGTGTATAAGGGTTAGGGTTTATGGTTATACCACTGTATTACTACCGTCATGTGGCATCTTCCATATCTGCATACCGTACCCCACCCTATCCTGGGGTTCATTTGCTCTCTTTATGAATTTAAGGAGTAGTTCTTCTGTCCTATATTAAATGAGTGCATGAGCAACTAAGTTGAATGTTTTTGTGTTGCAGAAAGAGACGAGTAGTGCTCTGACCCACGCTGGAGCCCATCTGGATCTTTCTGCTTTCTCTTCCTGGGAGGTCCGTTTCTCTAGTCTTGTCTGTTACAAACATCACATTATTGTTTACTTTGATTCCCTCCTGTTTTCTATCTAAGAATGTTTTAATTTGTTCTCTCACACACATAATAATTCTATTGAAAACTCAGAATTGTTGTTTCGTTCCTGTAGGAGCTGGCGTCTCTGGGTCTGGACAGGTTGAAGTCTGCTCTCATGGCTTTAGGCC